GTACAATTTATATTAGGTCAGCGTTCACGGTTCGACTTCCGATATTCAGATCGAGTTCTAGGTCAAACTGGTTTCTTCGACTTTCAAGAAATTCGAGTAGTAGTGAGTTTGAGAACCCAGGTACCACTGTGTGTATATATATATATATACACACACACACACACACACACACATTTTACTCATAGTGTCTAATTTTGCATTTTTCATTTTTATGACAGGACTATGAAAGTTCACATACCTTAAGCATAGTTCTCAAGATGGTACATCTGTAACATTTAACCATTAATGGTCAGGGGTTGGGTGACCACCTAACCCATGTCGGGGGGGGGCACTATAAGCTAAGGCATAGTTTGCAAACTACCATTTCAAATGAAAAAGGCCTGAATTTCACTTTAGCACTGAGTTCTTCCTGTGTGCTGATTGGTCAGTCTCCTATCATCATGCGTGTGTCACTAATGATCATGTGAATCAGCTGGATGAGTCTTTCAGTCAAGGAAACAAATCAGCCAAAGCACCAGAAGACATGAAGAATTTAGCCCAAGTAGGGGAACCTTTCAGCTTTAAATTAGTTAGTAAAATCTGGAAGTAGCTCAGTGTCCGCTCTGACCGGTCCTGAAATAAGGAGCCCCCTCCCCAAAAAAATCTAACACTGGAGTCCACTATAAGAAGCTTACACCACTGAGGGATAACACTACTTTTTATGGACTATTGTCCCTTCCATCCATAAAACGATACTGTGCTCTCTCACTGTCAGCAATGTCATTCCCTTCAGTGTCCCGCATCCTCCTCATCTTCTCCCTGGGGGGCGCCAGTAACCCCGTGCTCTGCATGCTCAGTGACCCAAGACGTGTGGCTGCACCAGTTGGCACGTAAAAACTGTTGCCCGAGCAGCATGGCCCTGGCGAGACTGGCAATGGTCTTGACAGTAGCTCTGGTTATAATCGTTACTGAGTGGATCACGCTAACTGTGCTAGCCTGCTGGTACTAGCCTGTAGACTTTAGCCTCTGGTATTGCCTCACTAATAGATACTGTGACTAGGGCAGCTACAGACTCAGAGTGTGGTACATGGCTATGATGGGCTTGGCTGGCTGCTGTTATATGTCACAGGTGGCATTTCAAATGGATGGGTGCATCAGTGAATTATAACAGAGAACACAGGAGTTCCATGCAACCGGACAGTATAGAGAAGAGTACAGGCAGGCAGCGTGGGCTGGCCTCCGCTGTGCAGCTGTCAGTACCTGCTGCAGGGCACTTTGATCTAAGGCTGACAGACACCCGCCCCACGCCATGCAGCTACCTCTTTCAGGCTGTTTCAGCTCCATTTGCAGATGCACCTTCAGACCTCATAAAGACCCACTATTTCACGCTAAGCGGCGCTAACTTCACCCAGTGCCCCTGAAACTGACGGAGGTTATGATGGAGGTGGAGTCAGCTTACAGCAGGACACTAGATTTGATCTTGAGTAGAAGGAAAAACAACCCGACAGCTTTATTTTGTAGGTTCCTATTCAAGTAAATTGCTAGGTTTACCGCTCAGCATGTGAATCACCTAACCTTAACAAAGCTTTTTTTTTTTTTTCATTAGTATTTTCCGTGTATTAGAGAGAAAAAAAAAACGCTCAAGATAAACCTCTCGGAAGGTGCCGAATAACCGATCGTTGTTGTCATGGTAACGGCGATAGCTTCTTCCACGTTTTTGAAAGACTGCTCAGGTGCGGATGACATTTAGAGACGCCGGCTGTTATTCATGCCCATCTGAAGAGAAATACCTTTAACTAGGTGTGCGTCCAGAGCTGTGGTATTGTTGTTCCACTGACAGCATGAAGGCAGTAACCGGCACAGCGAATAAACATCACACCTGGTTGTGCTCAATTCAATTTCTCACTCGTTGTTTGTACAGCTCTAATCTTTATGTCTCTATTTGGATTTGGAGTGGTTGGTGGAGTGACAAGCAAACACTGGCTGTTTGAAAAACTCGAAGGTCCTCGAAGCCTGCATGTTTGCAAATGCTTGGTATGAGCAAGAACAAGCTGAAATGTATGCATGGGTTTATTTATCTAAATCTGTGTACAGTGAGGCTTTGCTTTGGACAGAGGGCGTGCGTGACACTGTTTAAGGCTAGGAGGACCGTTTCTGTGGCAGTGAGCAGATGCAGCCTCAACCTGGTCTGCAAGTTCTACAAAAGAGGACAGGGTGTACTGTGAAATGCCAACTACCCTGTAGAATCAGATTTAATGCTCTACTGAAGATGACCCTTATGGACTCCACAGATGACCCCTATGGACTGATGGTACAGACGAGCAGGCAAGATAAATTACTGTGGAACCTAAACAGTAACCTCTTGTGTGTGAAGGTTTTAGAGTTATTGCCCTCATTCCGCTGAGTCAGGCACTGGCCCTATTCTGCGCGCTTTCCCTGGGGGGTCACCTTGAGCAGGTGTTGAAGGATACACCTGGAAAATTATAGAGAGGGAGAGATAGAGAAAGAGGGGAATGAGAGAGAGAGAGCCCTCGTTAACAGGTCGTCCAGAGGACAGGCGGTAATTAAGACCAGCCCGAGTGGCTGTTGAAGAGGAGACACTGAATGTGAGACCGAGAAAAGTGTTTAGCTTTTTATGTTCCTTATGAAGCCCTGACTTTTGTGTGCTGCTACCTCTGCAGGCAGGTCATGCGTTAAAGTGCTCAAAAACACAGAACACTTATAGGATCCACCAATCAGCTGAGGGAATTCCCAGGGGGTAGTCTTGACCTTTACTTGACCATAATTTTTACAAAAAAGTAGACCACATTACTTACAGTATAACCTTTTATATATAATGAACTAGACATATTTCTTCTGTTAAGTTAGTCAGGGTCAAGGTGAGGCTTCTGTACTGTAACACTGTAATGTTCAGATGAGATTATCTGCAGCTCTGGCGTTGGCTCGTCTCAGTGGGTCGTGGTCTCAGCCACGTTCCCTCCTCAGCACTGCAGCTAGCGGTACGGCTACCAGACAAGCCCTCTGGTGCCTTTATTGATTGAATGCAGTTATAATTGAGGCCCAGAGCACTAATCACTCGCAGGAATAACACAGAATGACGCTCGTCTGGGCATGGCTGTTTCTCTGATTGGGCAGGTGTTCTTATAATGTGCAGTCATGAAATGAACGTCACGCTAATTAAAGGGAGGGCTCGTGAATCTCTGACCCTCATTGGTAGTTCAGCCTGTCCGTCAATCCACTTTGCCGATTTTTAAGTACCTGCCCATCTGAGCTGTCCGGGTCCCTGAAAGCAGAACCGCACTCCGCTACCGTATATGGAGCCGATTAGCAGGTCCCTGAGCAGCGGTATGATTTATGTTGTGTTTTACAGCTGAGGGACTGGACCAGAATTAAGGACCCGGGAACATATGCACAGCTTATGGAACCAGCCAGCCATGGTGGGTACACACATCACACAACTCAGACATAGGAAGGTTGTTTAAAAGAGCTAGAGATGAGCTGATATAATTATGCTAAAATTAGAGCTGTGGGTTTGCTCACAGTACCAAGTAAAGCCAATATCTTTAATCAAAGGGTCTTTGTACGCCTGATGTCTTAGAGAACTGGTACCCTGGCTTAACTGTATATTGTAATTATCCGGGATGACATGGAGCTGGTGTAACACCATTGTTCCCAGCAGGCTCACTCAGACAGATCAGCAGAGCCATGTTGTGAGGTAGATTCACGCTTTGAGAAGAGGAGTATCTCAAGGCCAGGTGTAAACATTAATCTGAGCTTCAGCGGAGTCTACAGCTTGACACCTGCAAGCCTAGTCCTATTACTCATTACCCTGTACTCAGATACGCAGCTGCTGCCGGGAGGCAATTCCGATTTTAACGGCTTCAACGAATTCATCTTCAAAGACGTGCACTGGAAGGAACAAAATCTCACTGCAGAAACCGTCACGTGTACACAGCTCCAGCAGAACACAGACTCAACTGGAAACTGGAATCCATCTTAATTACCAAACTATATCCATGCTACAGTTTGAAACATCTACTGAATGTCCTGATTACATGCCAGAAAATGTTTGCATTATATATTACAAGGATATATATGACAAGGACTAATGTCTGGAAGTCATGCTTGTGGATGCATTCAGGATTCAAGGATTCAAAAGTTTTATTGTCATTTGTACATGTGCTTCTCACTTGCCTACCTCCCTTCAGATTTAAACAACAAAAAATAACAAACAAATAAAAAACAACAGAATAGTGTGGACAAATAATCAACAAACTATATATACAGTAAACATACAGTAACATACAACCATTATAACATATAAAGCATACAACTTTTGATTCTAGTACACGCCAAAAATAAAGAAAAGGGATGTGGTATTTTTGTGCCTTTCGGGGGGGGGGGGGGGGGGGTTTGTACAGGATCCATGGAAAGCAGGAAGAGTTTATTTCCGTACAGAATCCCAAGGCAGCCCTTCGCGTCAACACAGGACACCCAGGTGATGTTTTTCACGAACGTGCCTTTGACACCAATGCAGGGCTCTCGTCTCACGCCGTTAAGTTAAAACGGAAAGGGGTGACAGAGAGAGCTAAATAGTAACCACAGAATAGTGGCTGAGGAGTACCAAGCGACCCCTTACATGCCCCCCCTCGTAACCACATTCCATTACCGCTCACCTACCCAGACGCTAGCCCTCAGGAAGACGTCAGTCTCAGCCCACAAAAGCAAACAAGAAATATTCTCTAACAACCGATTTCTTCTCTAGTTTAGAGCTCAGCTCCCAGCAACTCTTCAAGTTTTACTCATCAAGGCAACGTCTTACAACCTTATTTTTCTTTCCAAGTTCGTCCTTCTTTCAGACAGTGAACTGAAGGCCGGATTCATGAGAAATAATATAAGACATTACAGACTGTACTTCACTAAATGAGGGTCTTGAATATGAAGAAAAAAATACGGAAAACCATGATCATTTCGAAGAATGTGGTCTTCAAATATCCCATAAAGACAATAAAAACAGCCAACGGCCATTACGTGATTACCTGACCTGTTAAATATATTATTTGAGAGTTACATCACTTAGTTTGAGGTCTCATATAACAAGTAATTGCAGTTTTTACAAGTAGAGTCACCAAATGCTATGTCAGACTGTAGCATGCTGCTGCAATACAAAACCAGATGGACGGCGGTGACAGGATGAACAGAAAAAGGAAACACAAGGTACCGGGTGGTTCTGGGTAATTAAACAGTTTACGTGTTTTGACTGCTCTTTTTCCTAAGCCCCAAGCAAACTTGTGGGATTACGCTGCTTTAAAGAACCCATAAACCTGCGTGGTTTCACTTCACGTTCTCACACTGTTCATTTCTTCTCTCCGTCGGGCCCACACCGCGTGCAGAAGGCGAGGTAGTCCTCACCCATTGGGGTGTGTGGAGGGTAGTTGTTGCAGGGGCAGTCTCTCTAGGTCCCAGTAGGTGCCTGGCCTACTGGGAAAGTGAAGAAAGCATGAAGAAATGTAAGGTGGGGCAGAGAGACGGCTGAAAGGGTAAAGAAAGAGAGAGTGGGAATGGTGGAAGGAAGGATGGAAAAGGAAAAAGTGAGAAGTGAGTAGGGAGAGATGAAAGAAAAGGTGAACACCTCCCATTACAGCCTTTCTGGACCACTTCTGCCAGGTTGGTATGGACTGGAGTGTGGGAAATAATGGAATGGGACAAGTGTGGACTAGCATGTATACTCACTGGCCACTTTATTAGGTACACCATGCTAATATCAGGTTGGATCCCCTCTTGCATTCAGAGCTGCCTCAATTCTTTATGGCATAGATTCAACAAGGTGTTTGAAACATTCCTCAGAAACTTTGGTCCAGTGAACTCATTGTCATGTTCAAGAAACCAATTTGAAATGATTCGAGCTTTGTGACATGGTGCATTATCCTGCTGGAAGTAGCCATCAGAGGATGGGTACATGGTGGTCATAAAGGGATGGACATGGTCAGAAACAATACTCCGGTAGGCTGTGACATGTAAACTATGCTCAATTGGTACTAAGGGGCCCACAGTGTGCCATGAAAATATCACCCACACCATTAAACCACCAGCAGCAGCCTGAATTGTTGATACAGGGAATGATGGATTCATGATTTTATGTTCTTTACTCCAAATTCCATCTGAATGTCGCAGTAGAAATCGAGACTCATCTGACCACAGTTTTTCCAATCTTCCATTGTCCAATTTCGGTGAGCCTGTGCTCACTGTAGCCTCAGTTTCTTGTTCTTAGCTGACCGGAGTGGCACTCAGTGTGTTCTACTGCTGCTGTAGACCATCTGCTTTAAGGTTTGATGTGACGTGCATCAGAGATGTTCTTCTGCATACCTTGGTTGAAACCAGTGGTTATCTGAGTTACCGTTGCCTTTTTTTATAAGCTTGAACCAGTCTGGCCATTCTTCTCTGACCTCTGCCATCAACATTGACCAGAGAACTGCCACTCATCGGATGTTTATTCTTTTTCAGTCCATTCTCTGAAAACCATAGAGATGGTTTTGTGTGAAAATCCCAGTAGATTTTTCTGAAACACTCATACCAGCTTGTCTGAACCATGCGATGTTCACATAAAGTCACATAAATCACCTTTCTTCCGCATTCTGGTGTTTGATGTGAACATTAACTGAAGCTCCTGACCAGTATCTGCATGATATTGTGAGGCCAGTGAGTATATATAACCTTGATATAATATTAGAGATAAATCGTTTATTTCTTGTTCTAATATTGGGAATTACCAAGATGAATGAATAGTGTACATGAATATAGTGATTCCTACAAGACAATGCTGTGCAATAACAACAAGTTCAGATTTACATTAAAGGAAAGAGATCTCTTGATTGATAACGGCAGTGTAATAATGACTGGCGAGACCCTCGAACCCAAGGCTGTCAAAATCGGAGCTGACCAGGAACATCCGCTGCTGTACTACTGAAAGAGACGGGCGGCAATGCTACTTCCCGGTAGTCTTATGGTTTGCCAAGGATTCTTACTCTGTCTGGTTCAGCATATCTGGGTCACATGCTTAAAGCTCAGAAAATAGAATGCAATGAATGGATTTTTCTCCCTCACCCGGAATGCCTTTCAAAACAGTGCCCAGTTCTAGTGGTTCCTTTCACTTGGTTGGAATAATTGTTTCATTGCTAAAAACAGCAAGCATGGTAGTCATTTTACAAGAGTATCCATTACCATGCTGTATGTGTTACGGGTACAAACAGGACAAAACAAGGACCCCTAATATTTTCCATACATGCAGGATTTATATAAACCAGACTTCTTCACATTGAGCCTGATCGAGTGACAGCTTTTCCCAAAATCCCCCCGATTCAGCATTCCCAGTGAGCCCCGCTGAAATTGGCCCCTAAGGGCGGGGTGTCACATGACTGCCATCTGCCCCGGCTCCTCCAGTAGCGAGGCCCATTAGCCACCGGGCCCGAGCATCTCGGAGTGAAAGATGACTACCTCGATGAAAGATGAATGGCTGCCCTGAATCCCGATGCCCGTTCCTGGCTCGGCTTGCCGGGTCTGACTGATTTAAAAGCTCTCTTGGCACAGCCAAGCCAAAGGGATGGGCCTTCCTGACATACTTACCGGTGTGGATCGCACACCTGTGTGAAGTCAGATCTCGTCGCCTTGGAAACCCTAAGCATTTCCTCATTAGCCATGAGGACCGGGGATAGTACCCGGGTTCAGGTGTAAGGAAAAAAACCCAAAAGAAGGTCAGCAAAGGAATGTTTTCCACAGGTTCCTGGGCAATGCGACGCTCTCCGTTGACACAGGTGGTAGCCCTGGCTCTCCGTTAACATCTGTCTTGTGCAGAAGCAGCTCAGCCTCTTGTCCAGGCTACACTGCCTATCCCAGTGATGCCCTTCCCTGTCTGGGATTCACACAGCTGCTTCATAAAATGGATTACCCCCACAACGTCTGTGCACTCTAGATGAACAATCTCTCAGTGTAGATATTTATGTGCATCTGCAGACATTCATTTCAGCCACAATCCCAGAGACTGTTCTAGAACAACTCATGCATACAAACATAATGTGTGTGTGTGTACACAGCTTTGTCGTATTATATTGGTCTAGGACATTTCAAATAAAAACAATGATGTGCACTCATTGGTCATGCTCCGGGAATGAACTCACAATCTAACCAGGACAAAAATGCAGCTGTTTGGCATTTTTACTCACAAACTAAACGAATCTCATTTCTAAGTTACAAACAAAATCCCCTTGTTTGTTTTATATTTCATTTTTAGTATGCATAAGAAAGTAAAATTTTATGGTATTCGTTCTGGATCGTGTCTTTTTATTGAATCTGTGGATCTGGGGGTGATTTATCTGTTAGCCTATTTTATAAACCCGTATAAGCATATTTTGAAAATATGCATTTTTTTTTTTTTTCGTTTTCTGTCTACTGGATTTTAGTACTGACATTTAATAGTTCGGCAATGTAATAGCGGCCCGGTTGCCCTCATAAATTCCATTTGAAATCAGGGGAACATTTAATCTCAAAAGATGATACAGTATGTCAAGAAAACGGCCTGAATAACGAACCAGTAGATCAACAACAGGTTTGCTGGGAATGACACTGTGCATGTTGCAGCTACTAAGTCAATCCAAGAGTTGAGCCACAGAGGACACTGTAAACAGTTTAGAAATGTACTTGGAACGTGTTCTGGAATTTCCAGGGTACTTACAAACCCTCAGGACATACTCCAGCAATGATCCAGTGCATTAGAAGACAGGGTGGCACCAGACAGCACCAATCCTATAGCATCCGGACAGACAGAAGGCACAATATATTTTTGGAAGCGTTTAGGCTGCCGTAAAAGGTTGAACGAGCTTTTGTTATAAAGTTTTAAGTGCTTGTGGTAAACACTTAAATAAGGATGAATATTTAATTGGTTATGTATTTCATTGGTCCTGGCTTTCAGTCTGGCCTGTTAAGGTTTCACAACATTACACCACAGACTTGTTATGCAAACATTTTTATCCCTGGCTGAAATATAAAATCCAGTATTCCAGCTATCCATCTATCCATCCATTTTATATAACCGCTTACCCTATTTTGGGGTTCTGGGGGGTCCAGAGCCCATCCCGGAGGCTACAGGCACAAGGCAAAATCCAGTATTATGAAGAATTACTGGAAGAATTTTCCAGTAGCCCTAAGCAAATTACCATTAGCGACAGCCTTTCCGCATGCATTTGCTCAGGTGGATTATGCTACGAAACAGACATGCGCAGGCAGCGAGTGCTAAAAAGGCAAGCCCCCCCCCCGTTCAGTTCCCGATGTGGCTCCACCACGCTCTTTTCCCTGTAGGATGCATAAACAAGCTGTGCTTTCTCTCTGGGGCTTGCAGACCAACCGCAGCAACGTGGATCACTGACATAGAGACACACGCTGCAGATAAGGGGTGTAGAGCCAGGGAGACACACGCTCCATAGTCTGCAGCAGCATTTTCAGGGCAGCTGCACCCCTCAGGATAAATTATGGATGGCCGCGCTTCTCTCCCTTAGCAACATTCTCAGTGCCATCGCCAACCTCAGGGTTAATTATGGCTGGCCGCGTTTCCCTCTATCTCATGTCAAGGTTCTCAGTGCCGCCACACTATCAGGGTAGACAATGGCTGGCCGCACTCCTCACCACAAGTCAACAACTTGCAGTTTAACCACAGGGCTAAATTAGAGCCTTTTGGGAGTAAAGTTTCCTGACTCAGCCTGGTATAAACTCTGCATGACTCTTAGTCATTATCCTAGCTGCTGACCAACATCCTCTACCATGAGATAGACATAAATTGGGCCCTGTTTTGGTGAAAAATGCCCGGGCATCTTGCCAGGCTGTGTTCTTGTCCATTGGCATCTCGCCCTCTTTCCGACAGACAGCCGGAGTAATGGCTATGTTTTGCACGTGCTGAAAGAGAAATGGTGAGAAAAATATCCCTACTTTAAAAACCACTTGTCTAATGGTTGTAACTCAACATGCTGGAAAGAGGCGTCTAACTGAACAAGAAAGTCCTAGGAACTAAAAGCTTTTATTTGATGTGGTGATAAATGGAAACAAATGTTAAATATTACAAGATCATGCTGGGTTACATTAAACTAGGATAAATTGTCAGAAAGCGCAGTTCTTATTGGTGTGCTTTCGGATGTTGGAAAATTTGAACGTGCAGAGGACTACCGTTCAATAAACACTCTTCAGAATGTGCTCTTTTTAAATGAAAAGTTGGTTCACACAGATTTCACGGGATGTGGTTCCCGGGAGGTCTCAAGGCCTGGTGAAACATGTCAGCTCACATTTTCTTACTGCTGAAAAGTTGATTCAAACATACATCTTCAACAGGACAGCGCTTCCAACTCTGAGTCTATGTAAAAGGCTGGAGCTGTAATGCATAAGAGGAATCTGCTGAATTCAGCTCGGTGTGGCTACAAAGTGACTCATACAAGCCATAAAAACACAGGAAGGAGAACGAATGTCTGAGTAAACCTCACTTAGGCAGCAAACACACACGTGAAGGTGGACGTGAGCATACTCTGTTTATTCGTGGTAAGTGCCGGGCTCACACTACTTAATATTATATTACGACAGTCTTAAAACGTGGGCCGTATTAAAAGCACATTCCTTTTTTACAGTCACTGGAAGCCATCTGTGAGACACAGAGAATCACCAAGAAGAGCTGTTCATTTGGATCAGTTAATCCTTCTTCAACTAAATGTAGTTTTTTTTGCAAGTGCAAAAACTATAGAGAGGACAGCTGAATCAGTTTAGCATATTTGAAAGACAGCTGCTATCCGTAAGGTGTCGGTCACACTTTAGTTGAGGGGGCAGAAGTAATTAGTAACTAGTAATTAGTCAAGTACAAGTCATGAACAAATATAGTAACTGCAGGAAATACATGATGACTGATTAATGATGAAGGAACATGGGATCAGTATAATTAACACTTAGTTTCTGGTTAATTAATACATTAAGTAAGAGTGTAGTACTACATTTTAGGGTGTCCCTCAAAGCGTTACAAAGCTGTCTTTTTAACATCTTAACTCAAATGCTAAAACTATTTCTTTTGATTTTGTATCAGCATGTTTTGTATTATGTGTGCAAAATGAGTTTTAAAAGATGGAATCTTACATCTGCTGCACAGCTACAGTAGAAGTATACAAAGGAAACACGGAAACATTATTATGTGGCTAATTTGGAAACAAACCTGAAACAGTCAAACTGGTGACTAATACAGCCATCACTCATACAAGCTACTCTCTTCAGGCAGTGACACCTGAGCAAAGAATTTTCAGATTGTAGCTTTGTAATGGTAACCATACCTGAGTGTGGATTTGTGGGGACAATCACTCCTGAGTGTGGGTTCGGGAATAATCACATGTGAATGTGGATTTGTGAGGTTAATCAGTCCTAAGTGTGGGTGTGTGGGGATAATCATACCTGAATGTGGGTTTGTAGTGATATTCACGCCTGAGTGTGAGTTTGCGGGGATAATTATTCTGGAGTGTGGGTTTGTTGGGATAATCAGTCCTGAGTGTGAGTTCGGGAATAATCACATGTGAATGTGGCTTTGGGAGGTTAATCAGTCCTAAGTGTGGGTGTGTGGGGATATTTATGCCTGAATGTAGATTTCTGGGGATAATCACGTCTGAGTGTGAGTTTGCGGGGATAATGTCTGAGTGTGAGTTTGTGGGGATCATAATGTCTGAGTGTCAGTTTGTGGGAATCATAATGTCTGAGTGTCAGTTTGTGGGGATCATAATGTCTGAGTGTCAGTTTGTGGGGATAATGTCTGAGTGTGGTTTCGTGATGTTAACCT